CATCTTGAGGAGTTTGCCCCCTCACATATACTAATGTGCCACAAACAGGACTTTAATATCACCAACCATTCCCATGTTATTACGGTGTATTCATATAAATGGCCCACCCTGTAGATAGAATTGAAGATTAACTATAAGGAGTAGGAACTGTTTTTTTTCTGATTGCAGGGTATTCAAGTTTGGGGAATACCCTGTTAGAACTAGATTTTTCAAGTGATTTTGATGGACCTGAGTGTGAAATAAGGATACTGCCCTTTTGTATGTGCTTGTCAGTCATAAAGTGTCTACATTTTTGTCTATTTTACTTTATTGGAGGCCACCATTTACAATATCTATATAATATTAATTTTATTCAATGAGAAACTGAAACGATAAACTCATCAGGAAAGTGTTTACTGAGGCCATGGGTCAAGCATGCTGACTCTTGAGTTACCTCCTGCTGGCCATTAGAAAACATGCAGGTTAGCAGCACTTTCACATCGATGTTCATTTTTACGCAGACCCCTAATAAAAGTTGACATTAAAGTTGCCATGGTGTCTGTGATAGCAAGCATTTGTCTATTTATTTCTCTTCGTTAAGCTCTGGTTTGGCTTCCATCAAATGTAACTGTTAGTGTCCCAGTGAAGGTTGTACATGTTTGTTTATTGTTGGGCAGGTAATCATTTGATTAAGCTTTTAAGAAGTGAAATCTAATTAAAATTGCTGTCTGTACCCATCACCCTACAACCAAAATAAACCCAACCTATTGAGTTAAAAGAAGTGCATAGAAGAGTGATAGTTCTACTGTAGAAACACATTTTAGACAGAATAATTCAGAAAGGATTCTGACTATTTGTCAAAATGACCCAAAACCCCTCCATTCAAAACACTTAACATTCACATTGTTCTTTTCTGTATGCAGGCCATCCAGCTTGCAGACAGGACGATCTCCACCCAGACCTCCAGCCTGCCGCACCCCGACACTCTCCATCTCCCCAACTCCTTCCTGTTCCTCGTCCCTTCCCCGATCTGTCTACCATGAAATGACAGCTAACAATGTCATCATCCTGGAGCCTGATTCCTCTAGCCCCGCCTCCAGGAATCGTCTGCTCTCTTCTGCAATCGGCGGCCTTTCCGATTGGCCAGCAAATTCAGATGCAGTGCCTTCCGCTAATGTCATTGTTGTAGAAACCTCCAATCTGATCATTCGCAGTGCGTCTGAGTTCTGCCTAAGCTCCACCCAACTGTCCGTGGAACCGCAGGAGAGCACCTTCACGTCAAATCCTTTTTTCAAGCTGCGCTCACTCAGCAGCCAGTCACTGGTGGAGCAAGAGATCAGGATGGTGAGGCAGAGGGAGGAGGAGTGGAAAAGGCAGAGGGAGGAGATGTGGAGGAGGAAAAGAGAGGAGGAGTGGAAGAGAGGGAGAGAGCGGTACGATACTGTTTTGGTGTCTCCGGGTCTGAGTGATAATGTTACGTACAACGGTATGTATCATCCACACAACTAAAACACTAATGATGTAGGAAGCACACAACCTAACATACTAGAAACCTTTTATTTTATTGTAGATTTATTCAAATGAGTCAGTGTTTGAATGTGTTTGAATGTAAGACTGTGTGCTTAGGCATAGATAGGTAAAAGAGTCCACATTTAAGTTTCTAACAAATTTCTCTTTCTCTTTCTGAGTGCGAGATCTCGCAAAAGTCCGTCTTAATTTTTTTTTCTCCCATGTCCCCTGCGGGGCTCCGTATGTTCATGATGTTAGCCAACACTAACAGTTTTCACTGCTGAGTGAAAACAACAATTGCTAAGTCAAACAGGTCAACAGCACAGTGTTAATCTGTTACCAATATGACACATAAATCAGCCTTTGATGTATGCTTCACCACTAAAGGCTTTAATGAGGACTCCCTTTTTTATGATTGGTGACATCTTGGGAAAATTTCCCAACAAGCATCTATAAGTGTTTCCGGATCTGAAAAGAAATGTTAGAAAAATGTCTTATAGACTGTGTAGTTCTCAATTAGGCCCTAATTCATATATGCTGATGATGCTGTGGGAACTTCCTCTGTTTTGATACCAGTGTCAGTGGTTCCAGACAGAAGCGTCTCCTCCCCGTCATCCCCCTCCAGGACCCGCAAAATAGAGCGATCCAGTTTGTCTTGTGACCACAAGGTTGGCAGACTCACACACACATTCATATGCATGCACTCTACAGCTGTTGTAGAAGACAAAGTTGTGTCAGCACCAAAGTCTGGAAATCATTATGCACACCTCTAATACAAATGAGCATGTTTCGTCTTATTCAGTTGAATGAAACCACTTGACGTTCATATATAGTTCATATATAGTTCATATATAGTACCCCAGCACTGACAGTATCTTATGTTTCAAGTCATACAAACAGCTTATGACCCTGGATATCATTGCTCCTCTGAAAAGAAGAGATGACTGTCTCTGATATAATGCATAAAAATTTTTAAGCATACAGCTTCTAAGGCTTTGCACTCATTTACAGGATCCTTATTTGACCTGTAAAAACTTTTTTAAAAAGATGTTTGGGAAGTTAGGACATTTTCCTGTTCGTCACTAATAGGGCTGCCACAAACGATTATTTTGATAGTCGGCTGGTCACCAGTTATTTTTGCGATTAGTCGACTAATCAGATCATCATCCATTGGACGTAAAACGTACAGCTTATTGCACCAGCATGAATCTGCTCTCATATAACTATCATTAGCTTACAGCTTGAAGTGTTTCAGGTGTGTGCTAACTAAAAATAGATAGATAGATTGTCTCGGTGGAATTTAATAAACTCAGCCGTCTGCTCCTTGCTATCTAAAATATAACAGGACACTGGAGGAGTAAACTCTCGACCATCTCACACTTCTGTTTAATCAGTCTTCTGACGTTTGTGAAAATTATAGCAAATAAAACTGAAAAAAGCCAAACAATAAAATGTTTAAGTTATCTAAGTGACTTACATCATGTTTAACCTGAGTAGCGAAAGATCGTGTGGGTTTGAAAGCAATGTGCCGGGAGTTTGCTGTTCTCGTCGGCTCTAGTGAGCCTTGAACTCCCGGTCAGCTATCGAGCTGGTGGGTAACAGACGTCTCCGAAAACGTCACTTTTACAAATATGTGATGTCTTGATAAACCGAACAGATATTTGAAGTTTACACAGCTACATTCTCACCTGAAAATATGTTAAAAGTTTATTTTGTGACCCAGACAGAGTAATAAGAGTAATATTAAAACTAAGTATGCTGCCATTGTTGGAAATGCTATGAATTCTGGGATAGGTTGGGCAACGAAGGATACTCCTTCAAATCGGAGGAAATGAAGGACGCATTTGTCGGCCGCATTTGGAGAAGTCTACGAATTTGGACAGCCTTCGTCGTGTTGTCACGTATTTGGCCTACAAATGCGGCCTCAGGAGGATGCAGCCTCTGAATTTGGACACAGCTACGATACCGGAGTTGCTTCTTCTTCTTCGGTGTTTAACGGCAGCTGGCATCCTTGTACATGCAGTGCTGCCATCTTCTGTTTCAGTCCGTTATTACACACTTAAATCGTACTACTTATTCCTGCGTCTTTCAGGATCTTGCAAAGCTTCAAACGACGCGCTGACTATTAAATTAGTGGCAGCCCTAGTCACTAATAACAAGAACAACCCTGAGTTTGTTTTTAGCACCGGAGCCAGGCTGACAGAGAGTCAGAGCTAAATTGAGGTTTTCTTTTAACTTTAACGAGAAATTCTTCAGAAATAAAATTTTAACCATCAGAGAAAAAATAATTCATAGCTGCCCCATATGAAGTGCATTAAATGCAGGAACTTTAATAACTGCTTACTTTACCTAGGCTCTTCCTCTCTTATCATCTTTCTAAGTTGACTAAACCATGAATGCGCCTCAAACAATTTTCACTATTATTTAATGCTTAAATATGATTATTCTATCTTCATCAGCAGATTATGTACCACAGGCTTCTAAGGTGGCCACAAACAAATGATTTCTAAACTTTCTTTTATTTTAAAATAGAGTTGCTGTCAAACAGTTAAATGGTCATTTCCAAAGTAATGGTTTATAGAGTGCATGATAGCAGAGAATGTAATGATGCTGTTTAAACTGTCACTCTGACTTTCGTTTGTACATCACCCATTGTATATGTCATACACATTGTTTCACTCATTTTTTACCCTACCTTTCTGACTCATCCATCAGTTGGATTGATCGCACCTTTCATTCACCAGTTCACAATTTAGCAAATATATTCATTATTTACCTCATTTCATCAAACCATTACACCTGCATCACTTTATCCAGCATTTCTGTTACATCTTCTCTTCATTTTTCTTTCTCTCTAATGTCCATCACATAACTCCATCACATCCATCCATCATCCATCCATCCATCATCCATCCTCATCCATCCATCCATCCATCCATCCATCCATCATCCCATCACATCCATCCATCCTCCATCCATCATCCATCCATCATCCCCATCCATCCATCCATCCCCATCCATCATCCATCCAACCCATCATCCATCCATCTCATCCATCCATCCATCATCCATCCATCACATCCATCCATCCATCCATCATCCATCCTCCATCCATCCATCCATCAATCCATCCATCCATCCCATCATCCTCATCCATCATCCATCCATCCACTCCATCATCCATCCATCCATCCATCCATCATCCATCCATCTCATCATCCATCCATCCATCCATCCATCCATCCATCCATCCATCCATCCATCCATCCATCCATCCATCCATCATCCATCCATCCTCCATCATCCATCCATCCATCTTTGCTCCAGTGGTTCAGCTGAGTCTTCCCCTCCCTCCAGTTCCCTCCTTCCCTCTCTTCAGTGCCTCGACAGCAAAATGCCATGGCACAACGATGGGAGGCCTCCCTACTAGCCAATCAGAAGAAGTAAGCAACGGTACTGCTCAGCTGTCAGACATTGTAAAAGCGAAAATCAAGTCCCCTGCCTGTTTCTTCCTTAGTTTTGCTCTCAGTCAGTCCCGTGTATCAGCAGCCAATGTGTTTTACAACATTTGTCAGAGCTATGGGTTATAGCTCAAATGTGGGTTTTTCACCTGGACACCACAGAAGAAGAGAACTGTTTCTCGGTTTCAATGATTTCAGTAATTTACCTGAGCTGGTTTTCTCACAATGTCTCAGTGGCTTTAAAAGTCAGACTATCTAAAAGAGTCCGACACATTGGACCTGCCTGTAACGTCACTTTTTCCTTTATATAATAATTCCTGTGGACAGATTACCTAAAGCTGTATAACAAACATAAGTATATATAAGTCTTAATCTGCAGTCATGCTAATCCCACTGGTTTTAACATGTGATATTTAATGTGAATTTTCACATTTTAACATTTGTGATTTTCTCCTCGATATATGATATTTACAGCACTTTGATAACTAGATATGGCTGAGCTAAGGCACTAGTAGAACTATTTATTGACATCTGTTTTATGTGAATGACTGACTCGAATGCAGTGATTTTCAATTTTACTTCTTGGCAGTCACATGCTCGATTTTAATGACTTTATATGTGAAAATATTGTAGCTATGCATTGCAGAGATGCAGACAAGATGTTGCATGTTGTTTTCTTCACAATAACAGTTCATGTATTTTAAAGGTGCCACGCCAAACTTTGAAAATCACTGCCTTAATGAAGTGTTACAATGAGCCATTGATCCAAACAGTTTGGATGTCCCAGGTTTCCTAAAGAGCTACTTTTGCTTCTTTGATGAAGGTCAGCTGTTAGCACAGGTTCTGATCAGTGTGTTAAATATACACTCTACCTTCCTTTAGGCCCTTATTGGCACACGTGTCATTTTTGAGGAAAGCTGTTAGTGTTTTAAACAGTTTAGGTAGCTTCTGTTAAGTGGCTGCATGATCTCGATGAGAGCAGCTCATAAAGGGAAATTTGCCCTTGCATGATGGATCCTCCCCCTTTAGTTTTAAACATTAATAGTTTGCCTTTGGCATCCACACTGTATTGTTTTCATCCTCTCAGTAGTTGGCCTACAGCCTTTTTACTTTAGGAACCAAAAGAAAATGTGTAATTTCTGCTCTGCAACCTGTGTTGTTGTGTGTGCCACAGGCTTTTTTCCATCATGAGCCTAGCTATCCCCCGAGAGTCCAAGGTATAAGGACGGAGTCTACTCTTATCTAGACTGTAGATAAGTTAATTAGTTTAGGTTAACTTCACACCATCATACAAAAAATGGACATCATAGAGCCTGTGTTTCATCCTGAAGTAAAGCAAATAAGGAACAAAGATGTATCTCAGGAAAAGGATTACTGTGCAATGGAACTGAAGAGAAGTGAAAAAGTTAAAAGAGGACAACAGTTATTCGAATATGTTGCCAGATAGCTTGTAGCTAATGCCTCACCAACAACTTCCATCTATAAAATGGATGAAAGATCTCAAGCTGAAACAAACGTTTGCACGGCTGTGTCCCCGTGCTGTTTGAGCTTTATAATCATCCCCAGACAAACACGCTTCTCTTGGAGTGATACAACCTGGCCAAACCCTGTATGGCTCCACAGTTATGGAGGCGAGGGCTCGTCATAGCTCTGACCACAAGATCTAGTCAATATTTTTACAGATTTTTATCGCCTGTCTTGATTCTTACAAAGAGAGATTTATCGTATTGTATTTTTGCTGCATATATTTATGAACTGAGCAGTGCTTATAAATTCTTAAAACTTTTATTTGTAAAAGGTTTATAACATATTGTGATGGTAAGATTATTGAAAACTTTCGATGTTTTTTAGAAGCTGATATTTCCGTGTGGTGTGTGCGTATGTGCACGAGTGCATACCAATCCATCCTCCTTACACATGGGACTTACACATGAGTGGCTCTGGCTTCTGCAGTATGACTCCAGAGTACGTCCACTAGTTTGGATAAAAGGTGCGTTCAAGTCAGCTCAGGATGCAGGATTTCTCTGTCACGGGGAACAACACCAGACAGGAATGCAGCAGATTGTTTGGGATCACTTTATTTTAGCTGTGCTACACTGCAGTGTATTACTGAATAAACTATATTACAGTATCTCAAACTACCTAGCTAAACCTGCGAGTCACTGTGCAACCTGAAGCTAGATCCACAGCTCAGTAGATTATAGTAGTTTGGCTTACCTTTTCTTTACCTTCTGCCCCACCTTCCTAATATTTAAATCCTACATTTACAACTTTTTATGACAATGTTAAAGTAATACTACTTTTCAAGTGCTGAAGGTGTTGTTAGATACTATAATTAGCTTTGTATCCACACTAGGTGTTATAGTTTCAACTTGAAATTGAAGGCGACGCTTTAAGTACCTTAAATAGAAAGATTGCTAACAGAAGGCTGCAAAAAAACTTTCCCACTGAGTATTTTTCACCAGCCACTCTGATCAGTATGCTGGTGGTCATTTTTTAAATAAGACAGAGGTCCATTTTTAGGTGCTTGATTGACATGCTCCGTCTTGTGTGATTAACACACTGGCCAGTTACTAATAAACATAAGGAACTATGTTGTTCAGATTTTTCACTCAGTTAATATTTTCCTTTAAATCCATGTAGCAATATTAGTGCTCAAATGTTAACAGTGCATTTGGCTCTTTGGTGATGTATCTCCTCCAATCAGCTTCCAGCTGTTAACCGCCTACTCCACCGCACTGCACATATTCTGACAATGTTAACCTCCACCTGAAAAGATGGTGTTGACCACAAAACCATCACTGGCTTCAGTTAAGCTGTAATATAACAATAACGGCCGTAGTGAACATCATCAGCTTTTATGCCCATCTTTATATACAGTCTTTATACACACCCTTGTGGAACAGCTAAAAGCTGGAAAAGCTTTTGACTGGAAAGCAAGAATTCTGGAATGAAAGTAGACGACTTCAATCCAAAGATAATGCTGACTGGCGTCTGACCCCTGACCCTGGATACACTGTCAGTGACTCGTGGAAATGAAGCAGTAGCAACCATGCTACAAAAAAAATAGTCCTAATTTAATAAACCTGTCACAACTATTCTTTTTTTTTTCCTCCCCAAAACATTCAGTTTGCCTTACTCCAAAATATACGGTTAAGGTAGGTCTACCACCTACGATGGCTCAGACCTTTTTAGATTACCAGGATAATTAATACATCAGTGTTGTCCATCTAAAGATTTTTGTTGGAGATTTAGTTCAATTTTATTTATATAGCATCAAACAACACTGTAAGGTAGACCCTACAATAATAATGTCGGATTATTCACACATATATCAGTTATTACTGCTAGAAATGGCCTTTTGCTGACCACATATTGGAAACTGAAATACAGAAAACAAATGCAACTAAAAATTCAACTCAAAGTGCAAAATGTACACCCCCACCCCCTGATCAGAGGTCACAGAGGTCGCAGACTGCACTTAGATGCTGTGTTAATGCTTTGGGAAGTCTGAATATGCTGCTTAAATCTCTGTGTTATGAATTCTGAGATGTGTTGAATGCACTCTGTGAGAACAGGATGAAGGGTCAGCATGTTTCTGTGTTGCTGTGATACTGTATTATAACCTGGATTACACTGTACTGTGCACTCAGTGATCAGCCTGTAATTTCAAGGATTTGAGTCCACATCCACACCTGGCTGCAGTTTTACTTTAAGTTTTGTTGTTTTTGCATTTAATTTTGTTTAGTTTTGGAAATAAATTGAATTTAGATTTCAGATGTACTTCTGAGCTGGTGCAAAGGTCCGATCTTCAGTGTGGAGTCACAGATGTTTCCCTCATACGTGTTATTTATGTGTATTAGTTTGTTTGCATCCACATTCACTCATTTATTATTGCCAAATAAAGGTGTGGTGATCTTAAATAAAGCATAACTCCTGAGTGGTGCTCAGCGTTTCTTTATTCTCCATCAACCACATTCACCTACACAACTAGAAACACCAAGTAAACGAAGTAAGTGAACTGCTGCATTGTATATTTAGTAGGGTGCAACGATATTCGTATCGATATTGAACCGTTCGATACAGTGCTTTCGGTTCGGTACGCATATGTATCGAACAATACAACATTTGTAATTTATTTTATCAACTTTCCTTCTGACGATGCTGTCTGTGTTGAGCGCTCAGTGAATCTGTGTTCGACTACTCCGCCTAGGCTGCACTGTCGAGCGCAGATCCACTGAGCGCTCAACACAGACAGCATAGTCAGAAGGAAGAGCGCAGGGCAAGCTAGCGAGACAGAAGTTAAGCTCTCCTTGCAACAGGCAAATTGAACCTCATTCAGATCTGGCGTTTGGAATTATTTTGGTTTTCATGTGACGTATGACCCTGAAGGTAAGCGAGTCATGGACTAAAGTAAAACAGTATGTTGGATGTGCCATGCAATGCTCAATTACATGGGTGGGAACTAGTGTGTTAGCGCAGTTAGCTCGTTAACGTGTTGGCCGTCTAGCCCCATGCACGGAGCGATCGGCGGTAGCTCGTTAACGGAGATTTGCCGTGTTGTGGCGTTAAGGTCATTTCAACGAGATTAACCTGAAAGCACTAGTGGGAACACAACGAATATGACTGCACATTTACGCCTGACATCATCCTAGTGCAAAGACAAAAACAACAAGCATGCTACTAACTTTAGCCGAGTCATTTAGACAGCTGTTAGCACATGATTCTCCTTATGCTGCTGAGAATATAGCCCAGAAGAAGCGGATAGTATAGCTTTTATTTTGGAAAGAGACATTTCTCTGTAATAAACTCTCTTTTCCAAAGATGAGTGATTCCTCAATCAGATACAGGGCTCGCAATATCGCTAGCCCGACGTCCCGGAGCTAGCGATTTTTTCAGTCGGGCTACCAAAATCTATCTCTTCCCTGCCCGTCGGGCTATTGTAGGAAAAATATATGTCAATGCTTTTGCATTCTTTCAGAAATGTAGCTGGGTAATTATGTCATTGGCATCGGTGAGCCACTGTCAATATGTGACATATTGAAGTCGCGTTTGAATTTGCGCTTGTTTTTTTGCTTTCACTTTGCAATCGTGCGAACTGTGTATAGAGAGCGACAGCACTGATCTGTGAGTGATGATAATTTGTGCACCAATTCCTCTGACATCGTCTTATTAATCGTTAGCTTACTATGCAAACATGACAAGTGAAATCTCCCGCAGCTTAAACATGTGAGAGGTTGATCGCGCAGAGAATCGCTGAGCTTATGTGAGTGCGTGTGTAAAAGCAGCAGATATATATTTTAGTTCTGCTGAGCCAAATAAGACAGGTCAGGGTGAAGAAGTGACAGCCAAAGAAAAGCTTACCACAAAACGGAGAAGTTATGACAAATCAGACTATAAGGCAAAAAGAAAGTGCAGCTTTATGGTTTCATGGACAAAAGAATTTCTGTGGCTGCAATATGAGAGCTAAATAACCAGGGCTGCACATAAGTGGTCCGCAGGTGCGCATTCGCTGTCAAAATAAAAAACACGCACAAGGGTTAGGGTTAAATTTAAAAACTGTACTTTTGAGTTAAAATATATATTTATAATTTTAATAAATGACAAATTAAAAAGGCATGAACATTTTTTTGTATCGAAAAAATATCGAACCGTGACACCAAAGTATCGAACCGAACCGAACCGTGAATTTTGTGTATCGTTGCACCCCTAATATTTAGCTGTACTTGGTCTTAATTTTGTTTTAGTTCTAAACACTTTCAGGAGAAATGTACTTCAAAATAACACAAAAAGCATAGAAGAGCTAACCTGGAGTCTGGATCTGCAGATTTCCACTGTGTGTTCACAGGGTGGGACTCACCCACTCGGATTAGGATGAAGCACATTTATTATGGGATATCACCATGGACACACACTTTTACAGCAGACATGGTCGTGACAATTTCTAATCTCGTTTTGTTTAGGCTTCTCCATATAATGACAATATATAAAAATAATAACATGATTCTGAAAATGTCCATGCTGAAAACTGGCATGACCCCAACAAGCTTCAGTGTCTGGTACAAGTTACATTGAAAAAAGTAATCAGTAACTAATTACTGATTACTTCCCCAAAAAAGTAATCCCGTTACTTTACTGATTACTTATTTTCAAAAGTAATTAATTACTTAGTTACTTAGTTACTTTTTAAAAACACGATTTACAACCTGAAGAGGTGATAAAGCGATAGATCTTTCAGCCCAATTCTACTTTTTCTGCATAATCCATCATACAAAATGTAATCAAATGGAAAAGTCTCTTTTTAAAACTTGTTTTATTAGTTTTAATCTTTTAACTTTATGCATCAAGCAAACATTTAATTATATGCAACATTCTCTGACTGGAAGAAATTAGTTTAACATTTAAACCTATTTTCTGCACATTCCAGCACATAAAATAAAATATTTTGTGTTTACACTCAGTCTTTCAAATAGATGCAAGTAAAACACAGCAGAAAATAAATAAAGTCAAGACTCAGCGGTCCTGTTGCTCTATTTTCACCTGTAAAGCAGGAGTGGGGTAGGCGGAGGTTTACCCTGGTGCAGGTGTGCCGCGGTCAGTGGAAGAATCCGCGAGTTTCTCTGTGAGTTTCCCATTACGTCGTAGCTACTCGGTGCTTGTTGGAAGTTTAGGGGTTTTTTTCGCTGTAAAAAGAAGTTTTCTTCCCACGCACAGCGGACACTAATGTTTTTGTCACTTTTTATGGAATCAAACTCAAAGTAAGGTCAGTACTTCCACGCTTTAAACGCTGCACGCTCATACTCTCTCGCACTCGATATATGATCCATTGTTGATCTGCACACAGCTGTTGTCACGAACGCGCACTCGCTTACGTCACTGTCATGAGACATTCTCGCAAAAAAATCACGGTTTATACAGTAACGCAGCGTTCCTACGGGAAAGTAACGGTAATCTAATTACCGTTTTTGCAATAGTAATCCCTTACTTTACTCGTTACCTGAAAAAAGTAATCAGATTACAGCTGTGTTTCCCTCCAGTTTCCTCTTACTGTATTCAAGCCCTGTGTTTTCCTCTGCCCTTTGTCACGTCGTACCTCCTCATGTGCTGTAAGTCGCTCCGTGTTTCTGGTTTCAGTTTTTCTACGCTTCTAGTTTCCCAGTGTTTTGTTCTTAGTTTTATACTCTAGGTGTTTGCTTTGTTTTCTGTAAGTTATATCATGAAGGATTTTTCCAGCAAATAAAGCTGCCGATTCAAAGTTTATTTTTCCGTGCACGAATGTCTGCATTTGGGTCCACGTCCTGCCTGCCACAGCACAAACAGTTTCATTGTGTTTGCTGATAAATATAATGGTGGCTGTGTGCCAAAGCCAGTGATACGGGCACCTGCATTAATGACGTTAAACTCGTGGATAGTTCTTTAATGACACGAGCGACTAACAGAGAGTGATATCCAGCGTGACTCTGTGGGGACGTCTGAGCTGACTCGTGTCACACAGGATTAATGTTGCACACACATTAAATGGTCAGAGCAGCGTACACGGGATGAGCTGGTTTATTAGCATCATTGTTCTAGGGCTTTCTACATGCTCGTCATCTCACACACTGCACCGAAATGTTTAAAGGCACTATCAGAATGGACACCGTATCAGAACGAAAGGGTTTACAAATGCTGATGTCAGGTATTTACAAACCAGATGTTTAAGCTTCCACTGTCAGGAAATGATGAATATTGTTTCTCATATGCAAATGTTCCAGTTGGAGAAAGCACAACTGAAACATTGGCACCTGAGCTGTGAATGCTAATGCAGTCATGCTGCTGTTATGCAGCTCAGTCCATCCAGTTATAACAAATATCACACTTGTTCATCCGGTTGTTGTTCAGTATTTATCAGCTGATATTGTTTTGGTATTATTAAACCCACGTGGGCCAGCCCAGAACAGAATATGCTGCATAGCACAGGAAAGTAATGCAAACATTCACCGACACATTCAACACAGTGTGAAGTCATTCTGAAGTAGGTCACTCCAATCCGTTATTACCAGCAGAGGGAGCCACAGTGCGCTCCACTGGTCAAACCTAATATTGTGTCTGTTGCTATGGGAACATGTGCTTGGTCTGTAATATTGTTTAATTTGGACCTGAGGACTATAAGAAGATCATTAATGTTATTACCTCCATGTGTGTCTGTGTGTGTCTGTGCGTGTCTATGTAAACCATTGTTTTGAATTAATTCTGATAAAGGATTTTAGATTGGGGTCGTGGTAACTACCCATTAAATGTTAGCTTACATCCATTACGGTCTTCAATATCAGCTTCATGATTTATTGGTTGAAAACGGACAAAAAGCCTTTTAAATTCAAAGTTCTGACTCTTAAAATTGTGCTGTGCATTGTCAACATATGGAAAATATCATATCAAGATCATGTGATCTCTCCTCAACAGATCAAGAGCTGCGTCTTGGAAATGCGTAATTTTGGTTAATTTATTACTGTCGTAGGCTTTTGGGAACAAACAAAACAAAAACATGCATGAAGCTACAAAGTTCTTCAGGCTAACATGCTGCCCAAACCTAATCCTAACGATCAGAGCTGGGCTTATTTGAGTGCTTTGAAGCAGTAAAAGTGAAGCATCTTACAGTCCAGTCATCATCATGCTGGTGTTGCTCTGCTGTTCGTTGTCACAACCAGCAGCTCTGCAGTGTAACAATGAAATGAGTAAATGTTAAACAGTACAGTTTTGAGTTGCTATTCTGAGAGGTTAAAGCTAGCTGCCTGGGCTTTGAATACTGGGAGCTAGGAGCAGACATGCTAAAGCACTGCTAGCACATGTGCAGTAAGAACACGTGTGTCACTTGGATTTAATCCTGTTCAAAGTGATTTATTTTGGTTTGTCTTTTTTCTCCATGCATTCCAACTTCAGATGACAGATTTGTGGGTTAATCTTTTCAAGTCATCTTACATTTTACATTAATCTGTAGCATATATATCCTGGGGCAACATACTGAACTCCCAGTTGCTCTCTGATGCATTCATTCATTCATTCATGCATTCATTGTTAGTACTTGTTAGCATGGAAAACAGTGCTTGTGTGATTGTGTGTGATTTGGTGAAGTAGAAGCAGAAAAGCGCTATATAAAAACAGTCCACTTACAGCGACACACAGCAGTATGTGATACGTGGGGAACACGTTATAAAGACTGACCAAATTAAACAGGGCTCTTTAGTTACAGTGTCACATGTTTATTAGCTGGAGATGATTTCACATCTTCCCTTTCACAAAAGCAGTCGTCACTAAGCGCTCGAGGAGAATCGGTCATTTTAGACAGCACCACGTAAAAAAGAAGGCTTTCAGTTAGCAGACACTACAGCACGGTTGTTGTTTTTTCCAGATCTTTCTGACGCCTGGTCCCACCGCGCTCTCTCTGTGTCCGTCTCCAAGTCCCTGCACTTGTGCAGCAGCTCCATTGCTTGCGCTTGGCTTTGGAATGTGCCCGTGGCTCTTCTTCTCCTTCATGTTGCTGTCATCATAGTCTTCATCGTCCTCAACAATGACCAGTTCAGCCTTGAGGGAACCTTCAAACTCCCGAACCTGCCGGCTCTCGTCCAACGCTGACTGAAAACCCATGAATATGGCTGTGATTGGCTCAGCAGTGTCCAAGACGCTAAGGACTGTGCAAGGAGGGTCATCTCCAGTAAGGGGTGCTCTGTGTCTGTTCCCAGTTTGTCTGTTTGACTGGTACAATGATGGGCGGTAATGTTCTTCCTCACTGATATAATCAATAGCAGGAATATAACAGGGAGTGTAGCTGAAGCGTGTGTGTGTTAGTATTTCCTGGTCATGTGTTCTAAGAGGTACGCAGCACCTGGATGGTTCAGTGATCCTGCTGCTGCTTCTGGTCATGCCACTGGGCTGGCGGCTTGCAGACCTTTTGATAAGACAGCTGTCCTGGTCCTGGTTACAGTACAGTAGGTTACAGTAGTGATGCTCACTGTGTGGGTTTCTTTGGCTGTTTTCGTTGGAGCTAAAGTCTTTGTCTGCTTTGTGTCTTTGCAGGACATCATAGTGTCCTGGCTGCTTCCTGAGGTCATGCTCCTCCACCCTGTTCCAGTTTTGGTGCTTTGCTTCACCATGCATTGTAGCATTTCTCAGTAAATGTTCCACCTCATTGGCCGATAGCTCAGAAACACCATTCTGGCCACGTGATGCCTAGAAGTACAAAAAAACCAGGACTCAGAAACTGAAAGAAATTCAAATACAACAGAAGCTAACATGACGTATTCTGTTTATGTCACTTCATGAGCTACTTGAAAAGGAACATGTACAGCTAAAATGCTTGTTCTTTGTCAGCAGAATTGCTAACAGAAATCTATATTAGCTTGAGATGTTCATGCCAGTGTTTCCCACACACAGGCTTTATTCGTGTGGGTGACTGTTTTGCAGCTAAGTGAGGCCACAGTTCAGGACTGTGGATTTGGAGTTGCTACCATGTGATACAGAACTCAGTTAAGAGACAGTGGATTATTGCTCCTTTATTTATTGTCATAGTTTTTGAGATTTATTAAAATAAAAATTTAAACAAAGGAAAAACCAACTGAGAACCATGCAGATGGTTCCAACAGTAACAGACGACAGTCGGCTGCATCCTTCATTACTGTAGTTTTCTCTCTCTTGAAATAGAGAAACGATATAGTGCATGCCTCCATTTATATTCATCATATACAACAAATCTTTGTTTGCCTTTGGCACCCCAGGTAGATAGCTTTACATTAATCCAGTGTAACATTAGCCCCACCCAGTCCACTGCTCTGTGCCAGTCGCAGCTACTGGGACTTTGGTAAAAATGCTGGTGTCATTATTACCAGTTGTGGAGTATTAGGGTCACTAATCAAACGTTACAGGGAGCTAAAATTCTCATACAAATCTGTTTCAAAGCTAAAATGGAATAAAACAAAGCATGCACCTCCACTGCTTAAAGTGAAGTCAGGGTTTGGCTCAGAATAATAAAAATACCTGCTGAGAGTTGAGTGCACAAGCACACTTCTGGACATCATCATGAACCCTGAGCCCGGTGTTTTGGTGAAAGTCTTTCAGAAGAACATCAGGCGTAGAAAGTACTGAGCTCTCCCCAGTATTTTTAGCCACATTGATCTGCATGTTAAACAGAGCTGGGACACAGAGGGCAGTTAATGCAGTTAAAGTTTATCCTGATTATCATGACATCAGTCCAGGTGCACAGCACAATCCATGTCCTGTACATTAGTTAATGTAAGTCTCCACAGGTCATTCTCAATGGGTGATACAAATGTATAAAAATAAAGCAGAGGAAAAAGTTCGCTTTGAGCTCTGAGATATGGTATATCTGATATAACATATACAGGACAGTATGTGTAGAACCCAGAAACATAGATGTGTGGTCAAAGACGAAAGAATGTGGACTAATGAGGTGAAAAAGTTACATTTATGTGACTTTCTGATGTCCTTCTTAAAGATCTGTGGAAAATGATGAATCACGTTTTTTGTGCAGAAACTAGGATTGAGTCATATAGACATCCTTTACTCAGCGTTCTGATACCTGTGCAAAGTTCACAGGTAGATCCTCAAAAACTAGAGCGCACTGGAACGCCAAATTAAAGCAGACATGAAACACTACACACATACAAAGGCTGATTTACAACGTAAAAATCCAGCTGTTACTCATAATCTGTGTGTTTGTAAAGAATTTAAAAATAAGGACAGATTTTCCTGTTTGAGTGAATGTAGCCAAACAATGGAGCCAATTATTGTTAAAGAGACAGACAGTATAAGTGGACAGTATGTCCTTGGTTTTACTGCTGCAGCCAGGGGCAGCGCAAAAGTGTTTTCCACTGAGTTATTGGTTCTGTCACCAGTTAGCTAACATAAACCAATGTGGGTTTATTAGCCACAACCAACCAGGCGACGTCACATTCTGTGCTGACAGAAGATGGCGTAAACATCTTTTGAAAGCACTTATTGTACTGTAGCTGCCTCCACCAGTTTGTGAGAGTGAATGAATAGTGGCATTGTAAAGCACTTTGGGTGCCTTGAAAAGTGCTATATAAATCCAATCCATTATTAATTATCAGAACACAGCACTATAAATTCAGTTCTAAATTTGCAAACTCTTGTGTATTTCAGTGCTATTGTGTATAACAGTTTTAAATGTATGAATGATCTCACGCTGCCGTGGTGTGTTTGGCTCACACTGTTCACTGGCTGGTGAGGAGAAGGATTCAGGGATTGCTGTGGTTATGTGTAATGGTTCTGCAAGAACAAAAACAGAACTGTTAGCTTGGGTTCATCTTTCGTCGCAACACCAGAGATGTTGCAAATGATGTCACATGACTTACCAGGAACAAAGCTGTTGTGGGCTTCCTAGAAGACACGCACAACTCAGTAAGTATAACAGGTACTAGAAGGAGCACAACACTACACCTGTGTATCTGTGAGAATGTGTGTTTGTATATACCTTGATAATGTCCTCCGTACTTTTCTCCACTGCCTTGAGTCTACTGAGGATAAAACTCTCATTAACGCTGATCATAGACTCTTCTCTCTCCAGAGAATCCACCTCCATTTCAATCCTAATGAGACAGAGGGGTCAGAGCAGGGTAGTAACAGGGCAGGACATCACATGAGAAACAGTAACCTCTGGGCCTGAAAATGTGGCCAATGTGAAAGTGCCAAAAACTGCAGTGCCTCTGAAGGCTATTTGAGGCTGGCAACCTCATAGACTCTCTTGTTAAAATACCCAACTTTACAGCATTAAAGAGCATGTTTAATTTTTGATTTGTTTTGTTTTGTTTCAAGTAGAGCTGGGCGATAGAACGATAACGATATGTATTGCGAAATAACTTTTCCTCGATAGAAAAATTAAACTATTGCGATAGACCTCACCGCTCTGGTCCTCTTAGAAAGAAGAACAGCCAATCCAAATTAAGTTGCGCAAAGCCGAACCAATCACAGCCGCAGCGTCACGTGACTTGTTACGTACAGCACAAGTGCCAAGCTGCACATGTGTATTTGTTTGGGAAGCAGCCAGCCGCCGTGCCGCCCGGATAATGGAGGAAATGAGTGTGCTGACTAGAAAAATCAACCGAGAGCGTGACCGAAGAGAAAACAGATGATGGTTCCAATGCCGGAGAGCTTGTCAAACGGAGGAGCCACAGAAGTCCCGTAGTGTGAAGGTATTTCGGCTATTTCAAGTCTGACAAAAAACATTAGCGCGCACTGTAAATTGTGCCAAAAGCAAGTCTGGAAACACAATAAAGCGGTGCAGCTCAATCTCTGACTGGAAGCGCTAATTTGTCATTCGGCTTTTGTCAGACTAAAGTAACTGTTAAAACTGTTTGAAAAGCTCAGCTATACAACAATGTGTCATGATCGTGGGTCCTTTTGACCCAGCGTTTTGTGTTTTCTCTTCTTGTGATTTTGGTTCTGTTCTTCCTCTGTTTAGTGTTTATTCTGTTCTGCCCGTGTGTTCCTGTATCTAGTCCGCGTTTCTTAGTTGTGTCCTTTCATGTCTAAGTTCCTGTTTTATTGTGAAGGTCTGCGTCTTATGTGAGTGTTTTCATTTGCCTCCCTAGTCTCGTCACGTTAATCACTCCCAGCTGTGTTCCCCACCTGTGTGTAATCTCCCTGTGTTCTCTGAGTGTATTTAAGTGGTGTCTTCTGTCATAGTAGTTGCTGGTTCGTCTGTGTTGTTTCCCCTCGGTCTCCCTGCATCTCTCCATGTGTATTTCCCCGGATCTCCCTGCATCTTCGTTTCTGGTTTGTGTTGTTAGTTTACCCAGTTTAGGTTTCCGGTTTCATGTTCACCCACCAATGCTGTTTGTACCCACTCCTGTAAATAAATACTCACCTGCACCAGAGCTGCCGCCTTTTGGGTCCTTTCTCCAACTCCATACGGCTTGCCCCGGCAAACCGTGACACAAGGAGAGATTGAGAATTTTTTTTTTTTTTTCTCAGTTTATTTGATATTGACAAAAGTTAGTAAATTTTGTCTGTTCTTCTGTAAAACAAACTAAGATTTATTTTTAAAATTAATATTTTGTTTCTAAGTGGAATTGACAGTTTAGTCTGTTTCGTTTGTTCTATTTTGAAACTTAACGCTTTAGCGGCTGCCTTTTGTGTAGTTTGCAATATTTGCCTTTATTTATCTGAAAAAGTCTCATGTTCCTTAAGTACATCTACCCTGTTGAACTTATTATGGGAAATAAATATTTAAATCAAAACAAGCTGCTGATTATTTCACATTTTACTTGTGAGCAACGGCACATTTAAATCTTACAAATATAGTTATTTGGCTTATATTGTGATAGATATCGTTATTGCCTGAAATGAAAAAAACATATCGTGACATGAAAAAATCTTATATCGCCCAGCTCTAGTTTCAAGGGAACTGGGCACTTTGACTGGCAGGTGAGTGGGTGTGTGTGTGTGTGTGTGTGTGTGTGTGTGTGTG